TTTTTTTCTGCTGAGTAGTACTCCATTGTGTAAATGTACCACATTTCCTGTATCCATTCTTCAGTTGAGGGGTATTAGGTTGCTTCCAGGTTCTGGCTATTACAAATAATGCTGCTATGAACATGGCTGAGCAGATGTCCTTGTTGTATGAATGTGCATCCTTTGGGTATATGCCTATGAGTGGAATTTTGGATCTTGTGGTAGACTAACTCCCATTTTCCTGAGGAATCTCCATACTGATTTCAAAAGTGGCTGTACGAGTTGGCACTCCCACCAGAAGTGGGGGAGTGTTCTCCTTTCTCTACATCCTCTCCAGCATAAACTGTCATTGGTATTTTTGATTTTAGCCATTCTGACAAGAGTAAGATGGTATCTCAGAGTTGTTTTGATTTGCATTTCCCTGATGGCTAAGGATGTTGGGCACTTTTTCAGTGTCTATTAGCCATTTTAGATTCCTCTATTGAGAATTCTCTATTTAGTTCTATACCCTACGTTTTAATTGGATTATTTGGTGTTTTGGAGACTAGCTTCTTGAGTTCTTTGTATATTTTGGAGATCAGCCCTCTTTCAGATGTGGGGTTGGTGAATATCTTTTCCCATTGCTGTCAGCTTTGGTCAGAGAAGCTTCTCTTTGCAATGGTCAGAGGTAACTGTATCAAAATGCCAGGAATGAGTTAATGTTGGATGCTCAGTTGTAAGACATTTATATCACCTCCTGAAAGGCTCAGGGAGTATCTCTCTGGGGGGGGGCAGAAAGAAAGTAAATGTCTGAGGAAGGTGGGGGAAGAAGTTGTGTGGAACATGACTTAGGGCATGGAATGGTCTTTACACTCTTAACTCACAGCATCTGTTATTTCCTGAACAAGATTTCACCAATTTAGGCTCATCAGTATCCTGTCATGCAATGGATGGGGTCTCATGGGGTCCCACCCCTGAAGATTTACATGTAGTTTCTGGTTGACAGGGGAGGGGAGACATATTCTTCAGTGGTATAGCCACTGGTAAGGCGCCCATGCTCCATTAAACAAATTCTCACCCATGTTTCTGTTCTTGTTCCTGTTAGCAAACCTAACTAAGCACATTGGGACACACACACACACACACACACACACACACACACACACACCTGTGTGTGCACCAAGTACATATACGCACACATACATATGCACGCTGCACACACAATGTGAAAGTGTAAGTTCCTAGTTGGGAAGCCATCAGAGGAAGTTGGAATGGGAACAAGAAATTATAAAGGGGAAACAAGTTATGAACCAAAGACAGGGGGCTGGAGAGATGGCTCAGCAGATGGAACAGCACTGGCTGTTCTTCTAGAGGTCCTGAGTTCAATTTTCAGCAACCACATGGTGGCTCACAATTGTCTATAATAGGATCCAATACCCTCTTCTGGCGTGCAGGCATATGTGCAGACAGAACTCTCATACCTAAAAAATATATAAATGATCCAAAATTTTGTGACAAAACCCATTACTATAAATAATGTGCCAATAATAAGTATATAAATAAACAATATTTCCAGGAATTTATAAGTTTCACCTAAATTTTCAAATATATTGACATGTTTGTTCATAATATTCTTTTTTCACAACAAACATTTCAATTCTTAACGCCTGTGCCCCAAACACTGAAAAGCCATGTGTGTTTCTTTATAAACAGTTATCCCAGTGATGTTCCAGACTCAAACTTAAGACCTCACATAATCTTCATTTCCACTGACTCACAATTTTATATCCTATGCAGTACACACTCAAAATTTCCACCTTTTACAGCACATTATTACAACCGCTAGGAAAATGGACTGCCACTACTAGAGATGCTATGGTTCTGCTTGGGCAGGAACCAAGCAGTGGATTTTTAGGAAACGGTTCTACTAGAAACACGAGACCACATAGTGGTCTGTATTGTTGGTCTGTATAGTGTTAATATGCTCTGTATTGTAGGATATAAAACTACCCCCACTCTGTAATGTTAGCTGAATCCCAAGACTGTCACAGGCTCTCCTGATTCAGTGTCCTGCTGTCTTCTGTTGTATCAAAAAATAAACAACCAGTGAATGATTTCAGCTCTTAATCATTTACACGTTTAAAAAAGTGGGATGAGGAGTATTAGGTATAAAAACTGAGTTTATGTATAAAAGGTTACTTTAAAGTTGATTTGAAAACCAACAATGAAAAGAGGGTCAAAGGCAAAAATAATACTAGAAGATCCGAAAGATACAAGGTTATTCAGTCAGATCTATTGACTTAGTCATTCGACTGCTCAGTGCTAGAGATATGCATATGACTTTAAAATAATCTTTCTCTTCAAGAATACAAGGAAAATGTGAAAATTACATTCAAATAAACAATTAAAAGAGCAACATGTAGTGGATTCCAGTGGAGGGCCAGTCTATAAAACAAACACCTGTACTCGTGTGTGTGTGTGTGTGTGTGTGTGTGTGTGTGTGTGTCTGTCCCCTCCTGCTTATGTGTATATGTGCATGTGGAAGCCAGCTCAGGTGCTGTTCCACAGGCTCCATCCACCTTTTTGTTTGTTTGTTTGTTTCCTTTGTTGAGATGGGGTTTCCCAGGGCCTAGAACATCCTGCATATTCGAGGTTGGCCTGCCAGGGAGCCAGGGGGAACCTTCCACTTTCTACTTCCTCAACATTGCCTTACTTGTTTTTGCATGGATTCTGGAGACTGAACTCAGATCCTTGTGGTTGTAAGGCAAGTATCTTACATGCTGGGCTGTCTCTAGCACCTGATCATCAGTGCTCTTTGGGAATGTCAACATTGTTAAAAATTTGTTCTTTAAAAAGGAAAATACAGTGGCATTGATAAAATCCAAAAGAATGACTTCAATAACAAACACCCCAGAAGTATTTGAGTAATTCGAGTAATGGTGCTGCTGTAAGTCTTGTAAACACCAATTAAAATTACATTTCAGCATGGATACCGATGGGTCAATGACAGTCGACTGGGAGGAATGGAGAGACTACTTTTTCTTCCACCCTGCAAAAAATATCAATGAAATTATCCGTTTCTGGAAGCATTCTACAGTAAGACTACTCTGCATTTTACTATTTTTATTTTTCTTTAAATATTGTAGTTGTAAATATCATTTTGTAATCTCCATTATATTTTAGTCTCAATGACTAAAGATTGTTTACTTTTATCAATATTCTACTCATTTATTAATGGATGCTAGTATTTTATGTGCAAACATGGAAACCACAATTTGCTTGTTAAATCCTGTATCTTAGGTGTCTACTAAAAGGACCTACATACTCTATGTTAAAAATAGTGTTGTTAAGTGTAATTGCATTGCCTACAAAAGTGAAATTACATGTTTTCCTTTTTTTTACACAGATATTATATGCTTGACTGGGTCTTTTGGCATTGGGAATATAAAATTACATATTAAGGTTGCAGAGATCAGAGTAAAAAAGGAACAAACATACAAGCTATGTGATCCTTTAAGTTTCATAAGCACCTGACCTGAAGTTGTAAGGACTAAAGGAAATCCTGTATTTAAAGACTTTTAAGATATAAGGTGGGGGAGTGAAAATACTGTACTCACAACGCACAGCTCTCATCAGTGTCTGTCTTCACTCCACACACAGTCCATAAGAAGAAAAGACCATTAGCTCTGGAGTCAAAATGTGAATGTTTGAACCCTCATCTCGAACCCACTCATAATCCCCTCTGTTTCTTCTATTAGATAGTTCTTCTATTAGATAGTTCAGAGTTCAATTAGTGCATTAGTCAGTGTGTTTAAACAAGCCAAGAACATATGTATTCAGTAGGTATTTGTTATGTTAGGCACTTGGTTTCATCTGTGTCCCTGAATGTTTGAACATGGGATGAACATGTAACATCATTTCTCGTCTGGTTTTGATTTATATAGTATTTTGATAACACATCTTATTTCTTACTTTTTGACTGTTCCTTCCATGTTCATCTCCTGTGACTACTACCCAGGATGCATTACTACATCTTTCTTTTATTAGGAATAGATTTTTTTTCATACAATATGTGGAACAAAGAGAACGCTCTTCCACTGCTGGTGGGAGTGCAAACTTGTACAGTCACTGTGGAAATCAGTATGGCGGTTGCTCAGAAAATTGGGAGTCAATCAACCTCAAGACCCAGCTATATCAATCTTGGGCATATACCCAAAAGATGTTCAATCATACCACAAGAACACTTGCTCAGCCATGTTCATGTCAGCATTATTCATAATACCCAGAACCTAGAAACAACCTAGATGCCCCTCAACTGAAGAATGGATAAGGAAAATGTGGTACATTTACACACTCATCTGTAAAAAAAACAATGACCTCATTGTTTTTGGCAATGGTTGAAACTAGAAAAAGTTAGTCTGAGTGAGGTAACCCAGACCCAGAATGACAAACATTATAGGTAATCATTCATAAGTGAATACTAGTAGTAAAGTAAGGATAATCAACCTAAAATCCATAGCCCCAGAGAGGATAGATAACAAAGAGGTTGTCACATGCAAAATAAATCCCATCCTTCCCACAGCCTCTACTCCTAACTTGTTCCACCATCAACTTTAAAGCCCAAGACAAAAAGCACTATCTCAACATTATCCAAACTGAGTGGGGGTGTGACTGAGTGGAGCTCACCCTGCTACAAGTTCCCAGGCATCTATCAAAAGCTAAATGTTCTCTTTGGCTCATACATTGCTTAAAACTAGAGGAATTTCATAAGTAAACTACAGCTTTCTGGTTTGTCTGGGAACGTGAGAAGAATATATAGCCCCAATATGCATTCCTACATAAGAACAACTAAATAAAATTAGCTAAAATGAAGAGGCAGATGTGTCCATTTTCATGGACTTTCTCCTGATACCCAGACAAGACTTTTTGACTGGCCTCCAAAGGCATTTAAATTTATGGTCCGTGGTTTATTATTTTAATTCATTAATTTTCTCTATTTCAGCCATCTCTTACTTAACTAGTTGGTCTGTGACATAAGATCATCTCTAGACAGATCAACTAATTTTTTACATGGAACAAACCAGTATAAACTCAAAACATGAAATTTCTCCATTGCTCTTTACCACCAACCTAACAGTAGCCATTTCAAACTCTTGAACCCATCACCACTTTCTTCTTTCTAATCAGTAATTATCTAAACCCTTTAAAAAGATGTTAAATCTAGTGTAAGTATGTGTGCTCACACCATGACATGTACATGGAGATGATCACAACTGGCAAGAGTCAGTTTTCTCTTTGCACTACATAGGTTCTGGAAAATGAATTCAGGTTGTCAGAGTTGGTGGCCATCATCTTTATCTGCAGAGCCATCTCACTGACCTTTGCCATTTCATTTTGTTTTTTTAAACATCCCTTTCCATGCCTACATATAATCCTGTGGTTCTTAGAAAAAGTATTATCTTCAAGCTCACCATTTTTGTTGCCTAGCCTTACTTTGGGTAATCCCTACTTATATAGAAAGGTGATGGCCTCTGAGGTCATCATGATTCCTGGATTCAAATTGGGGCTTTGGGGCTTCTAAGTTACTTTAACTATAAGGAATTCTTTTCTTTCATTCTACATCTATATTTTTTATTTTTAAAATTCTATTCTATTTTATTTGTTCTTTGATATTTTGTGCAGTGTGCTTTGATCATATTTGTTTCTCATCCAACTCCTCCCAGTACCGCTCTACTTTCCCTGCCTACCTAACTTTGTCTCCACTTTCTTAACCCATTAAATCTAATTTGTGCACTCCATGTTTCTGTAGGATTTTCTCATGACACTCATTGGCTGCCTTTGTTGTTGTAGTTACTGCTCTGTATTGTACTTGACTGTATTTTTCCCTATTACTCTTATTCTAGAGATAATAAGAACAGCTCTGTAAATGCTAGAGGCAGAAACCAACTTCTCCATGACCGTGTCACTAATACAAAGCCCAGAGCCTGGCAGGTTGATGCTTACTTCAACAATGTTTATTGAGCACATTTGTCTTCAGGAGCTAAGATCTAGGTTTCCAACAGTACACAAGGGAGACCAGATTGTTGGCCTTATTGGGCTTACTTTATAAAAAAGGAGCCAAACAATAAACAGATTTAAACTAATCAATCAAGATTGTGCTGTATTAGACGCAAAGCAGTTGAGTCAAATAGAACTCTTTGGCGGCAGAGGGAAAATAATTTGAGAAGGTTCCTAAAAGGGCATTAGCAGAATGAATGGAAGTGAGGAGCTCAGAAGAGCAGTAACATATCTACCACATCGATAGTAATAGAATCTAAGTCTTCAAGTCTACATGGTGCTTTAACACTTAAAAATAAAATTACCAAATATAAACTCATTGTATTATACATTTTTAAAAGAGAAAGTTGACCAACAAAGATCACTGGGAAAAGTGAGTCAGAGCATGTCAGATGCTCTCCTTGCCTCCTGCCTTTGGACTAAAGTGTGAAAGTTAATTCAGTGTTTACTCCCCACCTAGTATGTGGCAGACACTGTGTAAGTGGCGTGTTCCCCTGCTCTTAGGGTTATATTGTTTTTGTGGAAAAGATCATTCAAATGGTTTGAGAATTCTTTTAAATTAATAGCTAATGTAATGAAAATTTTATTTTGAATCTATATATGAATTGTTATTTAAAATCTTTAGAGTATAAGCACCGAGTACTAAGAAAATTATCAATCTTCAGTATAGGAGATGATTTGAAAAACAAATGTTGAAGTTTTTTGGTCTGTGTGAATAGTTTTTCTTGATCATTGTAGAAAGTTATACTTTTATTTCTCACGTGTTTACACTTCACTACCTATTTTTTCTATTTATCAGGTAATTGATATAGGAGAGAGTATAACTATTCCAGATGAATTTACAGAACAAGAAAAGAAGTCTGGGGAATGGTGGAAACGGTTAGTAGCAGCAGGAATAGCAAGCGCGATCACACGGACATGCACAGCACCTTTGGAACGCATGAAAGTCATAAGGCAGGTAGGTTTTGTGCCTTGAAGGAACATGGGGAGTACTTGATAATTAAAACATTAATATTTGAATATCTGGTAGATTTCATAGTACTCATTGAAATTTTATGCTTTCTTGAAATTTCAAATTATTATCTCTTTACTATTAAAATATGTTTTCATTTTCTTCAAGAGGTTCCTATGGTGTTTGGAATGATTAATCTTGAATGTCAGTTTCATTGGCCTAGCAGATTAACAAAGCACTTGCCTGAGTGTGTCTGTCAGGACATTTGAAGGAAGATTAACTAAGGGAAAGGAATCGCCCTGAAGGTGGGCAGCACCATCACATAGGCTGGGCCTCAGGGGAAGAGGAGGAAAAGGAGAGCTAGCTGGCCAAGCAGACAATCCCCCTCTCTGCTCCCTGCCACACAACAGGAACTCCACTGCCTTGCTGCCATGAATGACATGTCTGAAGATGGGAGGCAAAAGAAGTCTTTCCCTGTGTGCTAGCTCATCTCTCACAGTGTGGAAACGATACCTAATATGATACTCAGATTAATTTTAAGTTAAAATAACAATAGATCCACTCTATTAGACAGTTTCTCAGAAGCATAACTAGTCTACCCAATAATAATTAAATCCATAATTACAATTCAATACTTGCTAAATACTTTTGCTATAAGAATATAAAAATCAAGAAACAATATAGTGAATTTAAATTTCTAATTGAAATGATATATTTGGGTGTTTTATTGTCCTTCATTGTTTGGCAATATTGGTAGCCTTTGGTGACGAATTATGAATAGTTATTATAGTACACCATAGTAATTGTGCAAAATTGTAATGTTACCTAATTTAGAACTTTGTAATTTATCCATAATTATTCTTCACTGTCTCAAAATCTGTGACTCTGCTTAAATATTAAATTTATGTGCCATTTTTAGAAAATACAATGTGTTGGATTTTGGATTAAAGGAGCTTCATTTATTCATTCCATACCTATTTAGCAGAGTATGGTTAGGCCTTTAATGGGCACTAGGTACTGTACCAAGTCAGACACACTTTTCTTTAAAATTTCTTTTTTTTTTTGTTTTTAGAGACAGGGTTTCTCTGTATTGCTTTGGAGCCTGTCCTGGAACTCACTCTCTAGACCAGGCTGGCCTCAAACTTACAGAGATCCACCTGCCTCTGCCTCTGCCTCTGCCTCCTGAGTGCTGGGATTAAAGGTGTGTGCTACCAATGCCTGGCTCTAGACACACTTTTTAAATGAGAGAAATTAAAATATATCAGGAAAAAAATGGATGATTAGATAATAAATATTGAAATGCCATTATATAACTGGATAGAAACACACTAGTACCATGGGAATACCAAGGAGGAATAGACACTATTTTATTTCTCTTTATTATTTCTCATGTAGATATATAATAATATATTGGTTAATTTATCCGATAGAAATAAAGGCTCTAGTTTAATCATCTACCTATAGGGAATATACTTCAGCATATGGTAATAGGACAGCTAACCCATTATCCTTCTATGTGTTTGACTCTTATGTGTAACCCACATTCTGTTCAGCCAGGAAGCTAAATTTGGACAACTGTTAGGAAAGACAGAGTTGAAAATGTTCTGTTACATATTAAAGTAGAAAACCCAGTTTCCCCAGTACCTGGGCCTGCAAAATTACATATAAAGGAAAAAGATATGGACATTTACAGTGCTATATAGAGGAGACATGGTTGAGAGATGACAGAGATGGGAATAGGGCCAAGAGGGAAAGTTAATTAGAAAATAATCTTGTGTGCTTATTACATGTTAGGTGCTAGAAATGCAAAGATGAAAGAGCATAGTTCTTATTTTCCAGAACATTACAGACATATAAATCTGTGATGATGATATAATATTGAAAATGGTAATTGTCACTTTAGATGTTTTGCATCATTCAACATGGGAAAGACAATAGGCACACTAAGATAGGCAAGATTAGTTCTCTAAGGGCTACACATGGGTCACTGGATTAGGGAGAGTGAAAAAGGATGCAACAGTGAAAGTGTTTGCTAGACATGATAGGGCTGTTGTACACATGAACTCACAGTAGCTGTGACTGCATGCGCAAGACTTGTGTAAGATCAAGCCATCTCAAACCACAGCATGGGCAGGGGAGGCTCATTATTGAAATCCTACCTCTGAGGAACAATTGGCAATTGATGGCTGCTTTGAGAGGGAGAGTTAGTTTTCTCTGAGAATGCGGCCCTTGAGAACTGTGCCCCAGGAGATGGTCCTAGATCCATGCACATGGGATAGATATGATCAAAACACATTATGCATCTATGAAATTATTAAACAAAAATTAAAAATATGGAGCAGATATAAAAAAGTAAAGGAATAAAGCAGATAAACTAGGAAAAGGATTTGAAAAAGAAAAGAAAATATAGAAAAATAGAGAATAAGGAGGGATAGTAGGAAGTGAATTAAATCCAGGTGTAATGATACATGTCTGTGATGTCAGCACTTAGGAAGTGGAGGCAGGAGAATAAGAAGTCTAAGGTTATCTTCAGTTGCATAAAAAATTCATGTCAGACCCTGTCTGTCTGTCTGTCTCTGTCTCTGTCTCTCTGTCTCTCTCTGTCTCTCTGTCTCTTTCTCACACACACATACTTTTAAAATCATAAAATGACAGGAAAATAAAAAACACAGGAAAGCATGGAGGCAGACATGAACTGACCCGTAGTTCCCCCAGCACCCTCTGTTAGGAATTCAGTAACAAAATCCTACAGCATAAAATCAGAATGTTCTGTTGTAGTTCTGGAGGACCAATCAAGTGGTCAGCAGGGCTGGCTGCTCCCAGGGTGCTGAGGAGTCTGCTCCAGGTGCCTCTCCTCGACTTGGATAAGGCCATCTTCCCTGTCAGTGCATACTGCCTTCCTTCTTGGTGTGCTATGTCTCTATGTCCAAACTTTCCTTTTATAAGGATAAAGGTCATATTACATCAGATTGATTTTTATCTTCGAAGACCCCATCCAAATAGGACCACAACCTGAGGGAATAGGAGTTAGGGCTTCAACATATTTGAGAGCTACAGTCCAACCCACAATATCCTGGAGCCTCGATGTATACACTGTTGAAACTTTGATGTATTTTTATCCACCCTGTTTTCAATACCTATTTCAATGTGTTCTTTAGTAATCTCAGGGTATTTTTGGTAGCAGCCATACACTTTGCTTATGATAAGGGTCTCTGACAATTGAATTAGAATTCTGTCTTCCGTAAGTTTTTTATTTTTATTTTTTATTTTTCTTTAATGCCTTAGATTACAGTAGTTCCCGTCTCTGGGGAAATTTTCCCATTGGTTACTTTACACTGTAAATAGCACCAAACCCAAGAATACTGTATTTTATCCTATACATACCTACATACATATGATAAAGTTCAATTTATAAATTGAGCATAAGGAGATATCACCAACATTAACACTAAAGTATAACAATTGTAGTAATGTACCCTAATGCAAGTTGCATGACTTTCATCACTTAAGAAAGCATGCATGTTGCCTCTGGCATATCCATATTGCAAACATCACTACTGCTGAACTTTGAGGTCATAATGAAGTAAAGTAAGGGATACTGGAACATACGCACTATGGTAATACTGTAATAGTAGATCTGATAATGGAGACAGCTCCTAAGTGATTATTGGGTAGGTAGATTATACCACAGAGATACCCTGCACAGAGGTGACTCATAACCCTGGAAAGCCAGGTGGAGTTAGATTAAGGGGGATTTCATCGTCTATTCAGAGTAGCAAGCAATTTAAAGCACATGAAATGTTTATTTCTGTGACTTTATTTGAAGCATGGGATACAAAACAATGGACAGAGGGAAGAAACTGTGATTTCATCGTCTATTCAGATTAGCAAGCAATTTAAAGCACATGAAATGTTTATTTCTGTGACTTTACTTTATTTGAAGCATGGGATACAAAACAATGGACAGAGGGAAGAAACTGTGATTTTTATGTGGAATTGGGGACAAGAAAAGTACTAATATCCATTTTATGTGACTAAAGGAAAATCAAACTGCTGGTGGAAATTATGAAGTATATAGGTATAATTATTTTACCAGCAGTGGAATAAATTTATATTACCAGCAAAATAAATTTAAATAAATCTATCACTTACTTCTAGGTTCGCAGATCAAAAGTGAATAAAATGGGATTCCTTAATGAGTTCAGGCAGATGATAAAAGAAGGAGGACTTTTTTCTCTTTGGCGAGGGAATGGTGTGAATGTTTTTAAAATTGCACCAGAGACAGTACTCAAGATTGGGGCCTATGAGCAGGTAATGTGTTATTGACTATGGGGTTTTAAATTTAATTTTTGAAAAGTTTAGACTTTTGTGAAATAGAATACAAATTATGTAAGCAATAATTGTCAATGTAAATATTACTGATTTTTATTTTCATTTGGTTGCTTTCATGCTTTCTTATTAGTATGAGTGTGTCTAGAGGTTGCACTGTATTATCACAGCAGGTCTGTGACTAGTTCTTTTAAGTTAATTGTCACAGCATAAGAGGTATTCACAAAACAGTTCAGAATTTTTTCTTAGAATAGTTTGAATATTTCCCAGAGATTTCATTCCATTTGTTAATGATCAAGAATTAACCTTCTTATTTAGTGAAGACGAAGTTGAGAAATATGCACCACATTTCAAAATTTTTCAGTCTGATTTAGGATTTTGCTTTTTCTTAAATAATTTCTTTGAGACAGGACAAATATCAGTTTTCAAATATTGAAATTCATTTGGGTTTCATAAGAATCTAAGGATGCTCTATATGCTTCTCCAGTTTTTTCTCTTTATTGTAAATTTTAGAATAATTCTCTCTTCTTTAAATAAATGTTTACCAAGGGCATTAAATTATTTCTTTTGTAGGGCCTTTTCACATGGTCACAGAGCCTTACTATTTTATGAAAATATAAAAGATTGATGCTATCCTTTCTTAGGCTCAGATGGTTGAAAAACAAGTGGATAGATGAGTAGACACTGGACTCTGAAATGCTTGTCCTTAGAATATACAGCTCTTTCTAAAATGGGGATTTGCCGATTCATTCAACAATATTGTTTTGATCAGCTAGTGTAGACCTCATGTGTTAAAGAATCTTTCCTTTTCTTTTTTCCTTTTATTGTTTTTCTTATTTAATTTTTTCATTTTACATACCAACCCCAGTTTCCCTTCCCTTCCCTTCTCCCCCATCCCGCCCTCATCCATGCCTCAGAAGGGATAAGGCCTTCTGTGGGGAGTCCACAAAGTCTGGCATACCAAGTTGAGGCAGGACTAAGTCCATCATCCCTGCATCAAGGCTGAGCAATGTATCCCACCATAGGGAATGGGCTCCAGAAAGTTAGTGCATGCACCCAGGATAAATCCTGACCCCACTGCCAGGGGCGCCACAGACAGATAAAGCCACATAACTATCACCCATATTCAGAGGGCCTAGCCTGGTCCCATGCAAGTTCCCCAGAGGAGAGTTCAGAGTCCCTGAGCTCCCACTAGCTCTGGTCAGCTGTCTCTGTGGTTTTCCCCATCATGATCTTGACCCCCCACTCCCTTCCTCCTATGATCCCTCCCAAGTCTCTTCAACTGAAGTCCAGGAGCTCAGCCCAGTGCTTGGCTGTGGATCACTGCATTGCTCCCATCACTTCCTGGATGGAGGTGCTATGATGATAATTAGGGTAGTCACTAATCTGATTATAGGGGAAGGCCCATTCAGGCACCCTTCCTGCTATTGCTGGGATTCTTAGCTGGGGTCATCCTTGTGGATTCCTGGGAATTTCCCTAGCACCAGGTTTCTCCCTTAACCCCATAATGGCTTCCTCTAAAAGATATCTCTTTCATTGCTCTCCCTCTCTATCCCTCCCCCTCGACTTGGCAATCTCAATCTCTCATGTTTCCTTCCCCTCCCCTCTTTTCTACTCCCCCCAGTTTACTCAGGAGATCTCATATAATTCCCCTTCCCAGGGGGATTCGTGTATGTCTCTCTTAGGGTCCTCCTTTTCACTAAGCTTCTCTGGGGTTGTGGATAGTAGCCTAGTTATCCTTTGCTTTGTGTAAAGACTTTTTTTTTTTCTAAGTGATAGAAATGTAGCAAATTATAACAAACAAAAAAAGATCCCTTTTGTCTTTGTGGATTATAAACGAGAAAACAAAAACAAAAACAACAATGAATGAATGAATGAATGAATGAATGATATGTCAGGTGATGTCAATGGTTACTGGGAAATTGAGGAGAGGAGCTGACGACTCTTTCAAGGAGTTTCACCATGAAAAGCAGAAAGGGATGAAGTGGGAGCTAGAGGGGGAATGACAAAGAGAGGGATTTCGCACAACTGGAATAAGCAATGCTTTTAAGGGGACCCGGTGAGAGGGAATACCACAAGAGACCGAGGGGGGTGTGCAGATAATTGTCCTCTAAAGGAGAAGAGCTGTGCTAGGAAATGGGAGACGGTGCTCAGGAAGGCTTGGCGTTGGCCAGGCCCTTCAATCACAGTCCCAGGAGAAGCACTACTGAGTGGGTACGGCTCTAAGCAGCTTTCTTACAGCTTTCTTCTTAATGCTTCAGTTTCTTTGATAAAAAGGAGAAGCAAAGGCATGTTGGAGGTTTGAGGAAAGAGGAGAAGATATGAAAATCTAAGAGAGTCACAGTATAGATGGAACAAGGAGATGAAACAAGATTGTTGGTAACAAAGGTCAGTTGATGTATCAGGCAGCAGATAGCCCCAGAAAATCCCGGTTACAATATCTTTTGAATTTTGGTGGTTTCTTGTATTTTAGTATTTGTTATATGTCTACATATGAGCTAGATCTTATAGTCTGGGGATAGACGAGAAAAAAAGATATACGTTAACTCTCTCTGCCCTTCCAGATCCACATTCTATCAAAAGTCCATGTTGAAATTCAGGGATGGTTCATCTAAATGAAAATATCAATTTAAAACAAAAACATTGTGCTGCAAACATATAAAAAAGTCATTCTGATGTGTGCTCATGACTGTTACTGGTAATGTCTATACTGTCATTTATGAAGAAAAAGAATATTCTAGACTCTGTGTCATCAGCATGCCACCATCACTACGTAAGGAGACATGCAGTGACATAGAGGACATGCCAGGTAACAGTGTTACTTACCAGGACTTTGACTTCAAATGTCTAGTCTGCAGCCCTCGTGAGCTGGAACAAATCACAGAGAAGCAGCAAAGGGCATCTTTTCCCTATTTTGTGTAACTTCTAATGAGTGACCTATAATAGCCTACTTGACACTTCCTCTCTTTAGGCCCATCCTGCTTCCTGCTGGCCTGTCCAGGGACACATTGCTTTGTACAGGTAACAAGAATGAAGGAATTCAACAAAAGGTGTGAAAAACACTAGCTATTCCTGTCTTTTGTACCTAAAATCCTGTTTTCTTGCTATCTAGAAGCCCCGTCTTTCTGCTAGTTAATTTTCATACTTGTCCAGGTTTTCTCTGAGGCCCACTTTTCTCTTGTCTTATAGTAGAGATCGTTATTGGGGGGTGAGTGTTGAGTGAGGCTAGTAGTTCTTCAGAGACTGTATTTTACAGTTTGAACTCTGTGTAAAGTCCTTATTACGTTATTGGAGGATGAGTGTTGAGTGAGGCTAGGTCAAGTGAGTTGCAGCAATTCTTCAGAGACTGTATTTTACAGTTTGAACTCTGTGTAAAGTCCTTATTCCAACATTACGCTTTCTATAATTTCTCTCCACTTAACGTGTCCTGGACACTTACTGTTGGCCACCCGACAATATATGGCTTTGACAGAAAGAGTGTTTTAATTATACCTTAACAAACTGTGCTTTTCCTATATCAATGATGTTCACATTTTCTCTTACATTTTTCTCCTTCTTATGGAAATTCTTTCTAGAATCCATATCTTGCATTTCCTTTTCCAAGAAGTAACTTACTTTAGCATCTTCTCTTCCTGCTCTAGTCTATCAGTTGCTTTTACCACTTAATATAAGTTAGAGTTAGGTTCAGAGGCATGTGACAGAAATCCTCACACAATTTAAGACAGAAATTCATCACTTACTCACACATAGAAATCTGAGGAAAGGCAGTTTACTGAGAGTGCAAAGATGCCCTATAGGTAAAAAGAAATTCAGTCACTTCTGGCTCACTGTCTTCTGTGTTGTAGTCCCCTTTATCATGAGTTTGAGATGGAGCTCCAGCAATCACATCTAACTTCCAGGCAATAACTAGGGAGGGGATCAAAGATGGATACATCCTTCCCATCTAGGACGCTTTCCAAAAGTAATGCAGAATACTTATGCTTTCATGCCATTAGCTTAAACTTAGACAAACAAATAGGTCTAGCTGGAAGGGAATTTAGGACTGTAGTGTTTTGCTGTAAGACAACTAGCTGCAAATGAATTTATTTCTCAGAGTGAAGGGGAGAATGCATATTAGGATACAAATATCAGTCACTGTCAGGTTTTGTCTTTTCCTTTACGATCTGTTTTTAAAATATTTGCTCAGGAAAAAACTTCTTTAGAATAGGGTGTACAAGCTCATTTCCAGAACAGTACCCGTTCACTACTGAATGCCCATGAATGAGCTGCACAGTGTCATTCTGTGGATGTGAAAACACAGACAAGCAAAGATGCACTTGAACTTATTTGTTACTGAGAAAGACAGGAAGATCTTATGACAGCCATGCAAAGAAGTGTGCACGTCATAGACGCATGGAACCTGAAGTACATATGCAGCCATGTTCTAATCATGCTGGGAAATGGTTGAGCAATGTCTAAATAAAATGTTATAAAGCTTAGGCTATAGCAAAATCCACAAGTTCTCTCTCCCCAGGCTCAGTAAACGTACTAGCGAGGTCACAGGGGTCAGCATGTTACTACAGTCTTCATTCCTATGATTTGTTACAACAAAAACACCCAAAGCAAATTTGGCAAAAATAATAGACTGGGTAACTTACAAAGAAAAGCAATTGGCCCCACAGTCCAAGGTCAAAGGGATGCTAACCGTCTGGAAACCTTAAGGTTGCACAAATTTGTGTAGTTTCTCTGATTAGAACTTGTAATACTACATTGAGCAGAAATGGTGAGAATGGGTTTTTTTTTTGTCTCATCTTGGGTCTTGGAGGGGAAGCTTTTACTTTCCGCCATCGATTATGAGGTTCATCTTATTGGGCCTTGGAGGGGAAGCTTTTACTTTCCGCCATCGATTATGAGGTTCATCTTAGTCTGTCTACATCCAGTTTATGTTCCTATAACAAGTGTAGACAGTGGGTAACTTATAAAGAAAAGAGGTTTCTTTCCAAAACGTCTAGAGGCTATGAAGTCCAAGGCTATTAACCCTTCGAGAGCCTTCAAGCTATGTAATCCTATGGTGGAAGATGGAAGTTCAAAAGAATGCCAAGAAGCAAGAGAGGCTACCTAGCTTCATGACAACTTGCTTTAGTGATCTCTGACCCACTCCTGTGATAACTAGGTTATCACTTCTTATGGGCCCTGCCTTTTATTTATGTTAATAAAGTTACAGTGGTGTGATGCTTAGTTTTAGGGCAGCTTGACCCAATTTAGGATCATCTAGGAAGAGTGTCTCCAGGAGAGACTATCCAGACTGGGTTGTCTATGAGCAACCTGTGGGGGTTTGTCTTGATTACCTTAATCAGTGTGGGAAGACTCAGTCTGAAAATGTGGCAGCACTATTTAAGAGTAGAGAAAGCTAACCAAGTACTAAGCATGAATGCATTTTTTTCCCTCTCTTTCTGATCTTCTGTGGATTTTACTTGCTGCTTCAAGCTCCTGCTGTTTTGACTTCCCTGCCATGATGGTCTGTATCCTGAAACCATGAACTGAAATAAACTTTCTCCATTCGGTTGCTTCTTATCACAGCAATAGAAATAAGACTAGAACAAATGGCAATTAAATTCCAACATGAGTGGATGGGGAACTACTCAAGCCACAGAGTTAGCTGAGGGCTTTTTCTGTTTGACCTTTATTGAATGGAGAAAAGTTTCTCTTATACATTTTGAAAAAAAAATTCCCAGAGTGTTAATCATGAACGAATGCAACTGTGTTCAGTGCTTTTTCTATTTAGATGATAATGTATTTTCCTTTTATTTAAGTGTTATACTGCATTGATATATGTGAGTATACTGAACCTTTGTCTTTTATAAATACCATTTCATCCTAGCATCTGATCCTTTAAGTGTGCTCTTAAGTTTGGTTTGCTAGTGTTTTATTGAACATTGGCCTCTTGTTTTGTTTTATTATGTGTTTGGCTTGGAATCAGTGTGATGCTGGCCTCCTAAAGTGAATTTAGGAGTATTCTTTTCATTATTTCTTTTTTAAGAGTGGATAGAGGATGACATCAGCTATTTAAATTAATGCCATCTGACCATTGGTTTTCTTTTGTTTGGAGATTTTTGATTGGCAATCCTGCCTCCTATTTTGTCATTGGTCTGTATGGGTTTTCTGTTTCTTCTTATTTCAGGTAGTGACTTTATTTTTGGGGAAAAGGTAATGTTTATTGGCATATAATTCTTCATACTAGTGTCTTATAATTATTTTTTACTTCTGTGATACCCACTGTAATATTCCCTTTTCACTTCTGATTTTAGTTTTTTAAAAGGCTTGTACTACCCTCCTCATTTTTCAAAACTTTGAGATGGAATCTTGCTATGTTTTGAAGGCTTTCTCAGCCTTTGAGTAGCTGGGATTATAGGCATGTACCTCCATATTCAGCTACACGGCTCCTTTTATAATGGCACTGATCTCTTAGCAACTTTTCCTTTCCTGCAGTCAGTAGATTTTCTAAATCTTTCCACTCTGCTTACCACCCTCACCCCATTCCAGTTCTTATGGCATATTTGGCTAAAAGTGGCCATTGCAGGCTGCAGCCTGAATGCTACACTGCTTTGGAATTTTCTCTGCCAAGTAAATTATTCTGTCACTTTTAAAGTCTGACTTGCAAAAGCCCAGGGCACAAACAACGTGCATCCTAATATTTTTTACATATGTATGCCTGCATGTGTGTACTGTGTGCATGCCTACTGCCTACAGAGGTCAGAAGACAGTGCTAGATTCCCTGGAAGTTAAGAATGGTTATAAGCGCCCAAACAGGTGCTGGGAACTGAACCCAGGTCCTCTCCAAGAACAGAACGTGCTCTTAACCACTGAATCATCTCTCTACTTCCACCCTAATTCTTGTATCTGATTAACAAGGGTGGCCTGTGAGCTAATTCCCAAGAGTCCTCAGAAGCTTCACTGTCCTAGTCTTTGTAACTAAAGAGCTTGCCATGTTGTTTCTAATTATTGAGTCAGCAAACACACTGTCATTATGTATATAGCAGGATACTGAAATACATAAAAACACTACTCCTGATTATATTATTTGTATGCGCTATATGACACATCCATGAGTAGACTTAAGTAATTTAACGTAGCTATTAGATTATTCCTTAGAAAAATAAAAGAAAAAGCTGAATAGAGAGGTTTAACTTATCTATTACATGGAAACTAAAATTTAGCACTGTACTAGGTTGTGCTCATATTCAGCACCTGATATATATTTTAATATAATTTTATACTTTTAGTTACTATTTTAAAGCTTGAAAGGCATATATTTCAATAATACTATACATATTTTTATTTATACAGTATAAGAAATTTCTTAGTTTTGATGATGCTAATTTAGGAGTTCTTCAACGATTTATAGCTGGTTCCATGGCTGGTGCGACTTCCCAAACCTGTATCTATCCCATGGAGGTATGTATTATTATAACATTTTATTTAAAATCATGCTTTAAATGTAACTAACAATCAGAAATGGCTTCCAGATTATTATTATTATTATTATAACCTTGTAAGATTTGAATCTTGTATAAAGTGTCAGTCTTAATACCCTTTGTTATTGTTTAAAACAAATGGTGTTGTAGACAAAGAAAATACATTAATCTATTTAGTCACTTGGTAGGCAAATATGAATTGTATGTATGCTAAGCTTAAGATACTGTACTAGGTACCATGTACGATCCAAGGGAGACTTAGATGGGGATTTTGATCATGTATTCCATAATCTATAAGGGAAAACAAAACATATACATCAATATCAATGACCCCAAATTGAAAAAAGTTGTAAAGATAGCTCAACATACAGTGCTATGGAAATTCAAAGGGTGGAATTTATTTATTTGTAGTTCAGAATTCCATGAAAGACATGGATAGAATGTGTGATCACAGCATAGGCTTTGATCATGAGGGATTATGAAGAAAGGCACTTTCGGTGGAGACAGATGTTGAACAGAGGAAAGGAAGTTTTAATAAGTAGACACTTAGTTTTAGACTTTGGGGAGTTTTTATTGTTGTTTGTGTTTGATTATTTAAGACAGTATCTCACTGTGCAGCCCAAGTTGGCCTGGATGTCACTATTTAGCCCAGGCGAACATCGAATTTGTGGTAATTCCCTACTCTTGCTCTCCTGAGTGTTGAGATTACAGGAATAAGCCACCAGGGATCCTATGATTTCTATAAAATTTGTAAGCAGATGTAACAGACTTCACTAGATTGCTCCACAAGTCAGGTATATCTATCTAATCAGTATGTCCTTATTACTTTGCTTCACACCTAGGTGATAAAGACCAGGCTAATTTTAGGTAAAACAGGCGAGTATTCTGGGATTCTCGACTGTTGCAGAAAGCTTCTGAAAACAGAGGGCATTCAGGTCTTCTGCAAAGGCTATATTCCCAACCTGATTGGCATCATTCCATATGCAGGTGTAGATCTTGCCATCTTTGAGGTGAGCTCATTCTCAAAGTATGACATTGTGCATTGTATTTGACAATATGACACAAGAGATATAGATACAGTTTTGCATGAAATAGCTTCTGATCAAGAATCAGATTGAGTGTTCTCATTTGCCTTTCTCTTAGATATCTAGTAATCTAATCATTTTTGTTTTTGTTTGTTCTTTGTAACTTATTCCTTGGCTGTGATGACTATAGACATAACTTCTGAGACAATAGTAAGTTTTAGCTCTGGATGTACATCAGAATCACCTACTTGTAGATCTTTTAAAAAGTAGACCCCCTTGGCCATATCCCAAGTATTCTGATTTAATTATCCCAGGAAGGCGTGGTGTAGTTGGAATTTACCTTGGGCCACCAACCAGCTCCCAAATAAAGACATGGAGACTGATTATTAATTAGGAATGCTTGGTCTTAGCTTAGACTTGTCTCACTAGCTCTTTTAACTTAATTTAACCTGTTTCTGTTTATCTATATTTTGTCTTGGGGCTTTTTATCTTTCTTTCATTCTGTATGTTCTACTTTCCTGCTTCCTCCATGTCTGTCTGTCTGGCCCTGGGTGTCTCCCTGGAATCTCTTCCTCTTTCCCAAGACTAAATTCCTCCTACTTACTCTACCTGCCCAGAAGTCCCACCTATACCTCCTCACTGGCTGTTGGCCATTCAGAGTTTTATTAGACCAATCAGGTGCCTTAGTCAGGCAAGGTAAAATAGCAACACATCTTTACATAATTAAACAAATGCAACACATCTTTACATAGCTAAACAAATTTTCTACAACATAAACAAATGTAACACATCTTTACTTAGTTAAACAAATACAGCACATTTTTGCATAGTTAAACAAATATTTTGCAATGGCCAGGCATTCAGATTTCCTAACTTCCCAGAAGACTCTGATGCACAGGTAAGGTTGAGAAAACAGAGCTATTCTGTCATGGTTATGAAGATTAGAATCAAGGAAAGGAATAAACCTGGACTAAAGATGAGAGCCAGCCTAGGAGTGAAACCCTGGCAATGCAATGTTATCGGACAAGCTCACAGGAATTTCATAGTCATGACCATGATCATGGCCTGCATCTGTCGCAGGACAGATTTGACATTGGCATAAAATGGATTTGCTTTAATTCCTGTGAGAATATCCAGATTTTTTGCTCTGGTTTTTAAAACCAAAACAATCAAAGGAAAACAAAAACAAAGCCAGGCAAAAACACACAAGAAGAGTAGATAGACATGCAAATGCAGAGTGTGAAGTTCAGGTGCTAAACTTTATTCAAAGTCTCTCTTCTCCACCAGCTTCTGAAGAATTACTGGCTGGACCACTACTCAGTAAACTCGGTGAACCCTGGGATATCGATCCTTCTGGGCTGCAGCACACTGTCACACACTTGTGGCCAGTTAGCCAGCTTCCCCATGAACCTTGTTAGAAATCGCATGCAGGCAGGTGAGGTTTTTATTTTCTTAGTTTAGTTAAGTTACTAAGGTAAAAAATAGTTTTAAATAAGTATGAATATTTTAAAAGCAGAAAACCCATAGAATTGATAAGGGAAAAGCTAACTGATTTAAAACACTAGATCTGAATTTATTATTATTATGTTTTTAAAGATTTATTTATTTTGTTTTATGTGTTGGAGTGTGTGGCCTGCATGTTATCTACATGTACTACATAAATGCAGTGCCTAAAGCAGCCAGAAGAGGGCAATAGACCTCTAGGAGCTGGAGTTAAAGATGGTCATGTGCCTGCCTCTCTGTGAGTCCTGGGAATGAACCAGGGTCCTCTGGAAAAGCAACAAATGTTGTTAACCACTGAGCCATCTCTCCTGGAACCTTTTGTAAATTTTAAATGTTTTTCCCCTCCAAAGTTCTGTGTGGGGCTTCCACGTTTGCTCCAGTTACTGATGATCTCTTTAAGAAGCTTTTAATCAGAAGTGCCATGCAGAACCATGGAAAAGGTTTCTTTCTTTAAATCAAACCACGTTTGCTCCAGTTACTGATGATCTCTTTAAGAAGCTTTTAATCAGAAGTGCCATGCAAACCATGGAAAAGGTTTTTTTCTTTAAATCAAACCAACAGCTGATGCACAGAGGCAAGTTACTCTTCTTGGTTTTGCTGTCACTGTCGTAAACTGCTTTGGGACTCTGTACTTCAATTGGCTCAGGGAGGTGATATTTAATCTTGTGTGTTTGTTCTTGGTGAAATGTTCGGGATTTAGATTTTAACAAATGAAAAATAAATCACTTTTCAAAGATGAAAACAAGCACACAATGGGGTACCAAAGTGGGTAACATGCTTTTTCTTTTTCTTTCTCCTGGTCTTTCTCAGTTAGGCTTTGGATTCAATTTCATTGCAATTGAGATGGAGAATTTCTATGTCCAGTATCATTCATGCCTTCTTCTATTAAACTATCCTCCAGTTCCACTTCCAAATGCCTCAGTGAAGTCTCTGATGAAAGATTTGCAAGTTGTTCAAGGGAACTTTCCGCAGTGATGAAATCATCTATATCTGTACTGCCCAGTATAGTAGCCACTGATGACATTTGAAATGTTCTAATATGACTGAAGGCAGAAATTTAATTTAATTTTAATTAAATAGCCACATGTATAGTTACTACCCTATTGAGTAATGTAGGATCATTCTATATATAAGTATCCTCTGAAATGATTTCAACTTCTATAAATTCTCATTATCTTTGGGCTAGATTAATATGCAAATATTAAATATTGAATTATTCTGTTTTTTAAATTTATAGCTACTCGGAAAAAGGAAACCATACATATGCTGCAGCTCATTAAAGAAATATACATTAAAGAAGGAAAGACGGGATTTTTCAAGGGTCTCGCCCCTAACATCATCAAGGTGCTTCCAGCAGTGGGCATTGGCTGTGTGGCTTATGAGATAGTGAAATTGCCTTTTGGGTTAACCTAGAAGTGGAATATCAAACTGCTGCACTGCTATTATCACTAAGGTATAAGATAACCCTGGCTATAAGATGATTTTACTCTTTCCTAAAAGGAAAGAAATATCAACTACTTGTAAAATTACTTTGTCTTTATTTACTATAAAATATACAAATTAAACTATAGTTTTGGTAGAGTTCTTTAATAATTTCAAATTCTTTATTATCCCCAGAATTCTTATTTTACATTTCCTGTTAGCTTCTGCTTAAAAATAAAACTAGATTTTGATTGGGTGCTAATAGAAAATACAACCTCATTAGAAAACATTTGGGGTAAGGTACAAGAGAGTTTTTTGCTAGCATTCTTTTTTTTTTTTTTAAGATTAAGGTTGAACAAGTTTTACACAGTAAAGCAAAAATCAGTGCATTAAATTTGACATTACAGATAATCTCTTCAGCAAAAAGGATAATCCTCTTCATGATTCCTTCTAGACTGTTATGGTTTGTCACTTCCCTTGCTAGTCCTGTATCCCCTTCAGTGTCTGGGCAACCCATCCTTCTCACCTACCTCCACTCCAAGATGGTTTTACCTTTCTAGACATCTTTGTAGATATGAATGGCATCCCTTGCCTAGGCTGGGGAGTTCCTGGATACATGCTTTCCACAAACCTAGAGAATGATTTGCTCAGGGCAGCAGCTTCTTTTTCACTCCATTGTAAGAAGTGTTGGCAAACATTCTTAATTCTATCCCCTTGTGTCTTCAAAAGCCCCTACTCATTTCTACTGTTGCTGGGACTAGAGACGGGGCAGCTGTCTCCTCCTGAGAGGGTGGCAGGGCTAAGTGTGTGACTTAGAGCAGATTATCTCCAAAGTTCCTCTTCCGAGTCATTGCATTTTATTTTCGGTGTGACTGGGAGCTTCAGGGGGTCATAAAATTGATGGAGCAATAATGCTATTATGGCCTTATATTTCACTTTTAAATAAGATGTCTATTGTCAGAACTCTGTTAATAGTTACTTAGTTCTGTATTAAACTTTTACTTCATTAGCAAGTATCAATTGTACAAAATGAATAGATTCACTGTGTCATTTTCATACATTATGCTATGAACTTTGATCACATTCAACAATAAGCTCAGTTTAAAAATGACCAAAGGATTTGGGTAGACATTTTCCCAAAGAAAATATACAAATGATGCAAATAAGCAAAGAAAAGCTGCTTGACATTCCTGACTACAGGGAAAGAAAATTAAAACGTAGATGAAATCCCATTTGACACCACCGTGATGCCTATTATTGAAAGCAGCAAGTTCTGATGAGGATGTGGGAAACTGGAGCCCTATGCACTGCTGATGGGGCACAGTGCTGCTGCCATGGAGAACATCTCCTCAGGAGATCTCTCTCATCACCAAAAAGAAGAATGAGCCTGCATCCTGCAGCTTACTACATTCAAAAACAATTCAAAGCAGGGGCTCAAGGAGCTACTTGCTCATCTATGCTCATGGCAGCAATGCTTGCAATAACCAAAGTGTGCAAGCACCATCTAAAGGTGAGTAAACTGTGGTACATGCATATAATGGGATGCTATTTCTCTTTTAAAAGAAAATCCTGATACATGTTATGATATGGATGAATCTGGAGGATATTATATTAAGTGAGATAAACTCCTTACAAAGTATAAACACTGTATATTCACTTATATAAGGTACCAAGAGTGACTAGATTCACGGAGGCAGGAGGAATGGTGGCTGCCAGTGGCTTGGGAGGGAGAGGTGGCAACTGGAGTTAGAAATGGTTGTAAGCGGCCATGTGGGTGCTGGGTACCAACCAAACTCAGGTCCTCTGGAAGAGTGAACTGTGCTTTTAACTGCTAAGCTGTATCTCCAGCCCCTGACCCAAATTTTGCATGGCCTTTGGAGGGAGCACATTGTTTTCTGTCTCCCTGGATTAGCTCCACTAACACAGGGACTTTAGCTAGTTTCTTCACTGTTGTCTCTCCTACTTGGAGGTCTTTGGGTGGCACACAGCAGGCATTCAATGAATATTTACTAGTTGAATGAGCAACATACATGGGAGGGGACATCTGTTTACACTTGTTTTATATTCAGTACAGGGCAAGGGTTTTTATACCACCTCTTGTTACCAGTCTTTTTCCAACCCTAATTATAGCCCTTTCTTCTTAGAATGTTATTTTTACATAGTACCTTACTCTCTAAGATGATTCTAAGGGAAGTAGTTTATATAAAATAATTAATGTTATTGTAGTTTTTCTCTCACCTTTTGTGTGTTCTTGTGTGTGTTCACATGCGTAGGTGTGCATGTGTGTAGGTCAGAGGTCAACATTAGGTATCTTTCTTAATCACTCCCCACCATATTTAAATTTTATGAGAGAGAGAGAGAGAGAGGGAGAGAGAGAGAGAGAGAGAGAGAGAGAGAGAGAGAGAGAGTGTGTGTGTGTGTGTGTGTGTGTGTGTGTAAGTGCCAAGGCTTGTGTGTGGAGGTTAGAGGTCACTTGCTGGGGGTCAGTGCTTTCTTCTCACCCTGTGTGTCCCAAGGATTGAACTCAGATCATCAGGATTAAAGATACAATAGGTATCTTTACTTGCTGAACCATCTCCAGGGCCCTCCACCTTATTTTTTGAGACAGTCTCTCATAAACCCGGAGCTTGCATATTCAGGCAAGATTGGCTGAGTAGCAAACCCCAGAGATAGTCTGTTTTTGCCTTCACAGCACTGGGATTATAGGTGTGCACTGCCATGTTATTTATTTACTTATTTATTGATGTGGGTGTCAGGGGATTGAATTCAGGTCCTCCTGCTTAGAAAGCAAACATTTTACTGACTGAGACATCTTCCCAGCAATCCTCACCCCTAATCCTGGACTGCACTGTAACTGAATGTGTTATTAATCTATCTTCTAAAGCAACAAAACTTCCTGGGAGCCTTGCTTTCAATAGCTAAACATGTATCACTGTCCTGTGCTGTAATAGAACTAACTCTAGCTAAGAGTTTTTCATTTTTCTCCAGTCTGTGGTCACCTCTGTCATTGTTCCTGGCTCAAGCATTCCTAACTACTCCCAGTGACCCTTTGAACTTTATTTGCTTTGAACTTTCTCTCTCCCACTGGAAAGCAGGGAGGCAGGTTTGACAGTTAAAGTAAACAAAACTGAGCATGTCTCTGAGTAAGGATGGAGATGGTGGCTGCAGTACACCACATCCTCAGAATCATCCTCCTAGACTGGGTGTAGGTAGCTTCTGTGTCTACAAGGAGAAACACAGTCAAGCTTTGTCACAGAACAGGGTGTCTTAAAGAGAATGTTTTATACTGGGCAAGTCTGGAACCTGTGCAAGCTTTGTCAAAATATACTCCATAGGTGGGTAAGAAAATATCAGTCATTGCATGTCCATTCTGTACATCAAGCCTTTCCTTCCATGCTCATGTGGAATATTTCCAACATAAAAATGAAGACATGTATTTGGAAAGTTTAGTTTATCCTTCATGGCCGATAGAAGATTCATGAAGGTTAAATTATACAGAGGCTTAGTGAAACCAATGCTGACTTAATTCACTCTGTGATATTAGGCAAAGGATGGATCACATGACATACCCTCAGCGTGCCATTTCCTTTTCCCTCAGACTCTGGGTATATAGAACAACCTCTGCCTTCACTCATCTCTTCCTGCTAGCTTCTTAGCCACACCATAGGAAACTGTATGGGAGAGAATTCAGGGAGATATGTTCTCTGCTGTAACCTCATGATCATCTAAGTGAACACCAGTGATCAGTGTTTCTTCCTTCTCTCGTCATCTGGATGGCTTTTACTATACCACATTGCCGACCTCATGGAAGTATTATATAAACCTTGGGGTTTTTTTCATTTTGGTCATAAGGAGCTGGTTTTACTTAGTTTGCTTCTGCAAAGGAAAATGTGTTATAAGTAAACCCATATTAAAAGGAGAGGAATTTATTTTTGTTTTGTTTTTAAGAGTATTGAGGCTTTGTTCACTTCAAAAGCCAATTTGCAAAATTTGCAAGCCCATGCAGCATAGGGAAGAAGCAGCCCGTGTATTCCCATTCACAGATCCCATCCAAATGTAACTTGCTCTCCAAATGATATCCTTTCAAGCCACATGCTGAACTTCTCTTATTTCTGGTCTTCTTCAACTAAGAACAACCAAGTCTTTCCTCGACTTTCATTATCTTTACAAATCTAAAGGTTACAGACTGGAGAACATTCTGTTTTGGTTTATCTGTTTTGCATTCAGGTGGTTCTCCTGAATCAGGCACCCTGCTCTACCACCTTTGATTCCTACTGTACGGCTTGTGTCACTAAGACCTGTCTGGTGGCTCTTGTAAGGAAGGTGGGAAAGAAAAAGGAAGTGAGAGGGAAGTAAAGAGGGAAGCATAAATGATTGGAGATGGAGAGAAGAAGGGAGTAACCAAAGGACTGAGGAAGCATAGCAGGAAGAGGGGCCATCAGTATTTTATACATAAAGTAGAAATATGCCAAATTGATCCATTGTCTATGATTATTGTTATTAAAAAGTCTCAAATTATTTACACTAGAAGTACAGTTTTCAGGACATAATTCAAATGTTGAAACACTGAAGTTTTGACACAGCTTTTAAAATAATTTTCAAATGCTGAGGCATGATTTTAAAGCCAGTTATAATTCTATTATTTTAAAAACAATTAGAATTACTTTAAAATGTGAATTATTCACGTGAGTTAGTAATGGTGGTGGTTTTAGCAATTTAGTGCCATGTTTTTATAATTGAGAATTATTTTCATTCATTTGGGGCATGGGATGGGTTGGTAGATAGTCCGGGCAAGAGACAGAATTTATTCACCTTTTAACCTGGACTTCTGACTCCTAAATGACCCAGAGAATATGATAGAATTTCCAGTGTGATATGAATGAGCCTAAACCCAAAATGATCACTTCCTCACTACAGTGCTAAGGTAACCAGGTTCATATTTCACTTCATGATAAAATCACCCCCTTTCCTGTGATGAGTGCAGCTGTATAGACGTGGTAGAACTGGTCTTCGTGGAGTGGCTGACAATTTGTCTTTATCAGGGCAATTAGTAGCTGTTAATAAAAAGAGCAAACATCTTTACCTGATGTAACTGTGAGGCTCTAGAGTGCTCATTCAAGCAGATCCACTATCACTCCAAGGAAACCAAGATAGGTGCTGAAGTCTTCAAGGATCAAAACTGATGAGGTCAAAAAAGTCCACTGTTTCCTTGGAAATGAAGGGCACGAGAAGGCCAGAAGCCTTTTAAAGCAAAAGTGCTGTTAGACTGATAGCCAGACATTTTTCCTGACCACAGAAATGAATCACATAAAACAAATATGAGCCCAGGGTTTTCTGTGTGGTCTTTGTGGGAGCCCTTGTCCCAGGGGGCTTTACCAAGGGACATAGACAGGAAAGGGAACCCCTCTCATGGAGATGTCTGAAGTCAGTGGACATTTCTTCTCCTATGTGGAAACTTGCTAAGACTGCTATCTGTGTGCCAGCCATCCTTCACCATCATAGCAAATAGTGGGGATACTCAGTTTATAAGTGGGGAAAGGTTCTCCTGGGCTTAAGGTTTCACATGACCCTACTGCTTATAGGGGGCATGTGGGGATGGGGGGGACTGTGTGTGCGTGCTAGATGACAACAGTGGGGAGTGCGGGTGGAATACAACCTCTCACCTCATGGTTGGGAAGGAAGAAACAGAGACTGGGATTTATAGCCCCCATGGTACAGTTCTCCTCAACTAGCCTGAAGACCCCACAGTAGGTCATACTTCTAAAAGTCTGTACCCCATCTCCACTGTGCTAAGCTTAGGTCCAAGGATTTAACATGGGCCTTTTGAGGGTGTCCTGTTGATTGAGTTTCTTTCCAGCCTGGTCCCACAGCCAATTAGCTCCAAATAGACACAAATACTTAATATTAATTTATAAACTGTTGGTCGATGGCAAGGGCTTCTTACTGGCTAGCTCTCTCTTAATTATTAACCCATAACTATTTCTACATGGCCCTGTCCTACCAGAGAATTCCTGGAGCATCCGTTCTTCCCAGACTTTACATGGAGTCTTCCTCGAGGCCTCTCTCTGCCTCCCTCTCCTCACCCAGCCTTCTCCTGGTCTGGTAGTCCCACCTATCCTTCCTGCCTGCTATTGGCCAATCAGTGTTTTATTCATCAACCAATAAGAGAAACAATTATACAGAAGGACATCCCCCAGCAGCATCCATATCCAAACTAAGCAATTGTGTACGGAGTTTCTCAATCCATTGAACATATATTTGTAAAACAGTAAAACTTATCCCCAGATGATTAGAAGATAGCCCTAAGTTTTTTATTAGATTTGGCAAACAATAAGTGGATAGAATTTCTGAAACTTCCCAATGTCTCATTTGCCTCATGGCACTCATTTGTTTTCTTCCTCCCAACCACTCACTGCTCTTGTTTCATTGTTACTCTTTGAAGAAGGTTAAAGGAAGTCCACGAACACCTAAATAAAGAATAACAGGTGTTTATTGGGGGAGCACTCACACAGTGATGGCAAATAACCACCGTGGTCTTTTGCCCCTGAAGGTGGAGGGTCTGCTATGCAGGTTGCTCAGATCACAACCCAAGAGAGAGATGGCGGGAGCCCCTCCTCTTCCTTATAAAGGGTCACAGCGGCATACCGAAGCCACACCCTAAGATCATTAACTCAAGTCTATTGGCAGAACAAGATGCCATTACAATTACTATACAGGAAGCCTGGACAGACCTGAAGTTTGCTTCTGAGCAGTTGGAGACACTGACTCTGTAGGCTGATGGCTCCCAGCGTTCCTGATAGCAAAGTTTAAAATGTAAACACTTCACAAACTCACATTTGATGTTCACGGTACTGGTTTAAGAACTCTTTATTCCATTTTGTTCATGTTTGAGACTGGTTTTCAAGTCTGCTTTATTGAGACTGGTTGGTACTGGTTTAAGAACTCTTTATTCCACTTTGTTCATGTTTGAGACTGGTTTTCAAGTCTGCTTTATTGAGACTGGTTTTCGAGTCTGCTTTATTGAGACACTTCACAGAACAAAATTAATCCATGTAGGTTTCTGATGAGCACACATTGTGTAACCACCTTCATAATCAAGATCGAGGGAAGTCTCATCATCCCATCCCTATTCTGCCCTTTGCTCCTAGTATCAGCCCTACCTCCAATAAAAACCACTCGTAACTCCTGATCTGTTTCTGTCCATATATATCCCATACAAATATATTTCTTCCCAGAACGTCCTACCATGCCAGCTGCCTGGCAGCGGCTGCTTTTCAATGCTGAGAGGCATTTCCTTGTGTCAACACAGCCCTGGTTTGTTCAGGAGCCTGTCCACTCAGGACCCTTTGGTGGTTTCTAGGTCTGCAAGAGTTTTCTCTCAAGATGAGAGGATCTCCAGAGACGGCCTTAGGGCATTTTCAAGGAGAGATAACAAGAAGTGATGTCTGAGGGCTTTTCCTGAGTAAGGGGCTAATCCCCAAGACTACAATGTGGAAGCAATACAGGAACTGGTTTCAGGACATGATTTTTATTAACAGCAAGGCAGTCCTTATCTCCATCCAGACTTAAGGTTCATACACTGTTTTAAACAGAATGGTAGTGAAGGAGGTAAATTCTTAGACCTTGACTTTTGAAGAAACAAGTGATTATAGTTTCCGTTTTAAATTCCCGAAGACAGCAGGGTATTAACCGCAGTTTTTACTAGGTGGCGTGACTGGAGGGAGAGTATTCCAGGGAAGGGCTATCCCACATGATGGCCAGGCAGCTGTTCATATTCTCACTTTGCAGACAAAAGTCTATGCAAGGAAGCTATGTCCAGTCTTTGGAATTACACAGCGGAAGGATCAGGTCTCGGATCTTCTCTCTGTAGACAGAAAGGTTCTCTCGTTATTCTAGAAACTGTCTCACCTGAGCTATAAATGCCAAACCTCAGAACCACACATCTCTTGAGGGGAAGTAGCTAAAGTTCCTCTGTGTGCTGTGAAAAGGTACCCACTGTGCGTCGTCTCCCCTCCTTTCTCCACAGCCTCCGGGGTGACCGATGCACTTCTCTGAAAAAGGCCTCTCTCAAGTCCCTGTGTGCTCCTTTTGGTCTGATAGACCTGTCCACATTTGACTCGCCATCCCAGTTATCCACTGCTATCGTTCTGGTTCTCCAACTCTCCCAGCCCAAAGGGCCTTTGAGGCCGAGCAAGCTGCCCTTCAACACACCAAGTTGCAGCTTCGAGGGGCTCTGGACAGAGCAGACCCTCTTTCCGTGTCCGGAGCACCCCATCCCGCCTGCCTGCACGTTCCGGGGGGGCCTGAATCTGGCCCAGCCAGTCCCTGTAGCCAAGCCGGGCCTGGGCCAGCTCCGCCCCTAGCAGCAGCTGGGCGGCCACACCCAGCACCGAGCTGGGTTCCTGTGAGCCAGAAGCCTCGCCCCCGACGACGTTCCAAAGGCTCTGCGGCTGCCGCCCCACCCAGCCAGGCCTCACCACCACGATCGCTCCCGGTCATTGCTAGGCCGCGGCGACTTTCCCGGGACCATGCTGCGCTGGCTGCGGGCCTTCCTGCTGCCCACCGCCGCCTGCCAGGACGCGGAGCCGCCCACGCGCTACGAGACGCTCTTTCGGGCGCTGGACCGCAATGGGGACGGCGTGGTGGACATCGGAGAGCTGCAGCAGGGGCTGCAGAGCCTGGGCATCCCACTGGGCCAGGACGCCGAGGAGGTGGGTCGCCACGGGGCTCTGGGGCAGCTGCAGGCGTCCCGGGGACACAACCAGGTACCGGGAGGGAGGTGGCCTGAGGCCAGGCATGGAGGAGGAACTATGCCCGCCAGCTGCCTGGAAGAGCTCCAGAGAACTGGATCCCGAAAGCGGCGGGTATTTTTCCAGATAAATTAGTGTTGCACACTTAAAACTGCCAACGCTTTCGTCCTGAGAGCATCTCTGGCTCTTGGTTCTTCACCTGCCCTGTCCTTTGCAAACACTGCATGGCTGTTCAGACTTTTGTAGGTCCCAAGTTAGGTGAAAGAGAGACTTTGTGTCTCTTCGAAGCAGCTTTGTTAAACTGCTAGAGTTTATTGTTTCAAAAAAAAAAAAACAAAACAAAACAAAACAAAAAAAACGGGTCTACCCAGCCTCTGGTTGAGGTAGAAAGGCCACATTCCGTTTTTATGGCGTTCTAAGTTAGTGCCCTAAGTACACACATTGATCTGAAGGGCTGACTTGTTGTAAAGCAATTGTACTTCCTCTGAGTCATGTAGATTGACATCCAGGGCCCCCTGGCAGGGTGGAGACACTGGATCTGGAATTTGTCCAGCCCACAGCCGCGCAAGAGGACACTGGCTTTCCTATTCCAAGAGGAACGTGCTTGAGTTACCGCGGGGGGCACCAACTGTTCTGTACCTATATTTAAAACTTCTCTTTCAGTGTCAATGTCCTTCATAGAGGCCTCTTTACTGTGTTCTGTTAGTAAGTTACAACTTTTTCTTTTTGGAAGCTACCCGTTTTGCCCAAAGTATTATGTATTTCATTTTTGATCTCTGTTCTTTCTCCTTCTTCACTTTAGCCGTAGGCGTGCCTACTTGATACACGGTCTGAACTAACCACCTTTGGGTACTTTTTGCTGGTCTGTTTTATTTGCCCTGGGTTGACTCATTTCCTCCTATTTCTTGAATCAAAGGCCAGACTGGGTAATTTTGAGTGATAGCATCTCTTAGCCGCTAGTAGCTGCATCTCACAGGTGTGTTGGGGTTATTTGTTTTGTTTTGTTTTTGAGACAGGGTTTTTCTGTGTAACAGCCCTGGATGACCTGGAACTCTGTAGGCCAAGCTGGCCTCAAACTCACAGAGATCAGCTTGCCTCTGACTCCCAAGTGGTGGGATTAAAGGTGTGTATCACCAGGGTCTGGCGGCTTATTTGTTTTTATTATTCTCATCCAGGTGTTTATAATCACTGGCATGATTTCTTTGACTCATCTATCATTTTAAGTGTGCTTTAAATTTCCCAGTACTTTTTTTTTTTTTAATGAATGGAGTAGACAAAGCATCTGATGAGATTTTAAAAAGAGAGGGAGTAGCCAGGCATGATGGTACATGCCTATAATCCCAGAACTCTGGAAGCTGAGGCAGGAGAATTGGCACAATTTTCAGGTCAGCTTGGGCTCTGTCCTCCTCTCATTTAAGTCAAACCTGAGTGAACTGAAACAAACAGCAACAACAAAACCTCAAAACCCCGACCCCCCAATAACAACTCAGATGATAAAAGGTTCATTTTATACTTTTTCTCTTTATAACATTTGTAGTATTTCAGTTTGGGAAAACAAATTTCAAAACCCCTGACCCCCCAATAACAACTCAGATGATAAAAGGTTCATTTTCTACTTTTTCTCTTTATAACATTTGTAGTATTTCAGTTTGGGAAAACAAATGCCCATTATTTTTGTAATTAAGGGGGAAGTTATTTTTATTTTATTTTTATGTCTCCTAGAACACCTTCCAGAGAGAAGCTGGCTGTGTGTACTGCTGTTTGTGACTACTTTTATAGTTCGAGAGTGGTATTACTTACTTAATCTTTATGCCCTTCAATAGGACCAGCACTTAGGATTCACAGTTCTGTCTCACTCATTGGATCAAAGTGACATCAAAGGATTTAGGGCTAGCATCTGAAATGCACTGACATGACAGTGACCTGTCTTTTAATAATTAAAGAAAAAAGACAAAATTGAACTTTAAATCAGTTGCATTCATTACTGTTTTATAGACTTGCTTATTTATTTGTATGTGTGTACACGTGTGCTTGTGTGGGAACCATTGCTCGTATGTGGAGGTCAGAGGCCAACTCACGGGGGCGGGGTCACTTCTCTCCTCTTACCAAGTGAACTCCGGGATGGAACTCAGGCCTTGGTGGCAAGTGCCTTTACCCTGTGTGTTGTCCTGTAGGCCCCAGTCCTTAGTGTTTCTCTTTTCATCATAAGTAGGACCAGCTAGGCAAAAACATGCTGGGGGAATTGGGATAAACATGTGGTGTGTGAAATGGTGGGGGGATTCCTTGTCCATGGGCCCACTTGCATGCCTTATTAACTGTGATCTGGACATACTTAACCCGTGTATGTTTCCACTCCAAACCATTTCTCCTCACATAGGCAGTGAATGGACCCCCTCACCTCTAGACACATACTAGGAAGATCCTCCTCCTCATTTCCCAAAAGCTTCTTCTTGGCTGGATTATGGCAGCTCTGTTGTTTTGTGCTCAAACACTCAGGGATCCTTAGTTAACCAGGCTTCAGCTTTCCCTCCTCATTCACAGAGGAGTAGGGTTTGAATAAGAGCTTCATTCAACGAAGGAGTTCCTAGAAAGTTGAGAACAGGCGGATAGGGAATTAGCCAACTGGTATTGATCAGAGGATGAGAGAACATTTGTGTTGGGGATAAGTGGCCCAGCTTGAGTTTCCCATAGAATTCAGTCACTGCCTGGAGCAGCCCAGGGACAGGATGGCCTTTCAGTGTATCAGAAGGTGCCATGGCTGGAAGTTAGCTGTGTCACGCAGCCAGGGTCCCTCGAAGGGAAATAATCCCACTCTCAATGGGCCATGAGTCCCATAATACACAAAAGTCCTCAATAATTTTCAAGATTCTAAAAGGATATGGAGACCAAAGAGGTTGTTAATTATTGCTATGCAGCATTTTTAATGATTGTATGATAAACTACTTCATGTTTAGGTAACATATTTCCAATACTCTGATTGCCATTTAGCTTACTGATAGTTTCAAAACTGTGTCAAATAAAATTACATTAGAATCCCATTGTTTTTATTTTTTCGTTTTGTTCAGTGGACTGGCATATGCCCTTGCTCACAGTCTACTGATTCTAATGCTAATCTCTTCCAAAATTACCACAGGCACATCCAGAAATGTTGTAATTGGCTACCTGGGCATCCTTTATATCTTAATCAAATTGTAATTTTAAGTCCATCATTATATCCGGGAAACCAGAGCCAATAAAATATTTCAATTTAATGACTCAGTCAAGAGCTACTGACTAAGGCATGGTTAAGTGTTGGGTATACTGAACTGAGGAGATGGTCCATTTGAGTAGACAGGGGTAAGAACTAGGGATAATTCCAAGTTTCAAGATAATACTTTGTCCCCAAGACAAATATTTACCTTGAGGGGAAATTCCTATAGAGTTTCACCAAATTTTACATCTTCATCATATTTTTAAGCTTTTTTTTTGCAATAAATTTAGCACTTAGAAGAGAACAAATATCTGTTTTTAAGCTTTTTAGATTTTATACTATGTCTCACGTTTATTTATTATATGTGCACACATGCCTGTATACCCTGGTGCACATGTGGAGATTCGAAGATAACTTGCAGGAGTCAGTTCTCTCTCTGGGAATTGAGCCGGGGTCATTATGGTGCACACGTGGAGATCCGAGGATAACTTGCAGGAGTCAGTTCTCTCTCTGGGAATTGAGCCGGGGTCATTAGGATTGGTGGCAAGCATATTTACTTGCTGAGCCATCTTGTCAGCCCCAAGTTCCTTTTTTTTTTTTTTAATTTTCCATACGACAAATATCTGAGTAGAATGTAGAAAATAGGTGTAATGTGCACAATAGTTAATCATTGGTAAGTATTCCAGAATTACTGAGGGGAGAGAAAAGACTTTGAGGCAGGCAATCACGAGAAACAACCAAGAGCCAGCCAGATGTGAAATTGCTATGCTTCATTTTTTGATGCTATGACCTCTGTTTTCTCTTTCTAAAGTTTATTCATTGAAAATTTCAAACAGGGATACGATGCATCTTAATCCTATCCATCTCCACTCCCTCTCTTCAGCTTCCCTTAGCCCCCTCCCCAGTATATTTCCCTTTCAGCTCCAAGTCCCCTTTTGTTTAATTAACTAATAAATGCAGCCCATATGTGAAGGGGTCTGGGGTCATCCACTGGCATAGGCAACCTCCCTGTGAGCACCCCCTAAAGTAAAATGAGTCTGCCTCCCTCAGCAGCTGTCAACTGTTGGTAGCTCCTCAGCTAGGGGTGGAGCCTCAGGAACACCTCCTACTCCATGCTTGTATTTTTAACTGGCTTGTTATCATGCAGGCCTTGTGCAGTAACCACAGCTTCTGTGAGTTCATGTGGGCAGCAGGCATTTCACAGCACTCCCCAACCTCTGCTCTTATGTTCTTTGTATCCCTGCTTCAGTGATGTTACTTGAGCCCTTTGCTATGACATTAAGAGAGAAAAGTCGTGCAAGTTCTCCCGAGACTCAGGGTTATTAGGGTATGGACCCGAGTCCCCTACAAAAGCAACAAGTGCTCTTAACTGCTGAAACATCTCTCCAGACCCACAAAAGAGGGTTTTGTTGGCCATGGGGACAGGCCTTCTTTGTGTACTGTAGAGACACAGAGTCACAACTGATGTATCTGGGTAGAGAATACACCTCTATAGGAGGTATCCATGTGACCACACAGATAAGACCAAAGCCTTGACCAA